TTTTGAACGTTCATCAGTATTATAATCAAAAAGAGAAATATGAACGTTAGTTTTTACTGAAATTATCAAATAAAGTCAACATCTCACAGTCTTTACTGAGCTGTAGGGTTTGTTCAACTTTTAAAAGATGTTTGAATGGTGATATACACAGTGATAGATGTTAAGGACTAACGTTTATAATAAATACATTTATGATTTTAAGATATTTTCATACAATCATACGTATCGGGATCATTTGTATTAATGTGGACCGGAGGGAGAGGGTGACGAGCATAAGTTTCACTTTCCTTTTTTATTTCAATTCCAACTTTGGTCATGAAGAATATGTTTCTCTGTTGTCCACGTTCATAAAGCATAAAGCAACAGCATCAGAGCACGGTGCAGAGTCTCTAGATGAGTTTACAGTAGTCCCTCGTTCTTATTAAACATCCATGTTGTAGTCCGCTGTATAGAAAACTGTAGTTTCCATAGTTACCCCACAGCAGCAGACGCACATTCATGACGTCCGCTGGCGCATCATAAACACGTCGGATAGTGAAAGTGCATTCGGATTCTCTAAAGTACCGCTGTCTCTTCTCCTAAGTCCTTTTGAATTCTCCTATCCACTATCCCTTAACCCCGTTACGTTTCACTCAGAGGTCAAGGAATAGGAGATAGGGTTAGAATTTAGGAGCTGATTTTTGGATTATCGGAACGCAACCCAGTTCTTATTATACATCCATTCCATATGCGCTTGCATTTTCCTTAAGCCCTGCCTCAGATCCGCTCTGTTACTGTTGGTCTCGGCTCAGTCAAAGGAATGGAGAGGGAAATAAAGATAGATTTGGATATTTAGTGCATATCACAACTTGTAAGACCTAATAGCTTAAACTAAGGCTATTTTAACTGCACGTAACGACTAGTTGATTTTGCTCAAAAATGTATTTTTGTCTCTTTCCCAATGTAAGTCAATGAGAACGTAGTTTTGGGCCATATGACATCACGGACTCACACGGAAGTGTAGTACCACCGTTTAGCCACTTTGAACATTTGCTTCAATAGGCGCATTCACACCGCAGTACTTTTCCCACAAAGGTTCATGAGAACTTAGTTCATCAGAACTCTTTAGTTCTGATGAACTCTTTAGTTCTGATGAACTAAGTACAGATCGCGTTCACAGCAGCAGCTTCTACTGAAGCCTTCCGAGTAAATCGCCAGAACGCCGACACCTCCTCATCTCCACCGCTCCCATGTTTTATTTTGTGTTGCCATAAGTTAGTCTCTGCGTTTCTGCGCTGGGCTAATGCTAATGCTAATAATGCTAATGCGAGGATAATAAAATGGCGGCTTCACAAAACCTTTTGGGAGTTTTACGGGGCGTGGTTTGCAATCCGCCCAGCCAATCAGAAATAGGAACCTTTTTCTCCCACGAAAGTCTGCTCTCTAGCAGGGACGGAAAAGGGGGTGAAAAGGTTCTCATGAACTAATTTTAGTTCCGGCTCTTTTTGGTGTGAACGCAACATTTCAGAACTAAAGTGGGAAAAGTACTGCGGTGTGAACGCGCCTAATGCCAGGCTCACTTGCTGGGGGCTTGCTTAATGCCACAAAAGTAGAAAGTCTGCATCTCCCGTGAAAACCCATCTGTTTTGACTGTAAAAAAAAGGTAATTTTCTCACTTCAGCACGTAAACTTTAAAAAACGTAATTTGAATCCAATACTTTCAATGGATTAGTTTATTGAAAGCTAATGTCCTCCAAGGAATCTTGTTTTTCTTCATGTTTCAAAGCACTTATTGTAACTTGCTGTTTAGCATAAACCAGATTCAATGTAATAATTTAGTGTAAAACCAATCATATTGTAGTTTTATGTTGTTGCATCTACTTGCTAGTTGAAATTAGCAACAAGGCCTCTGGGAGACGTAGAGGAACATGTTGTAAATGTGGGTCTGGTAAAGTGGGAAGAGAGAGTGGGATAGACATGGCCAGAGCAGTGGAATAACATCTTAATCTATCTGAGAAGTGAACAGTGGCCGGTCTGTTTTTGGAGGACGCTGTCTTGGATGACTCCCAAGCAGAGGGGCAGGGAGCAGAGCCATCTTCAGCTGCTAGTCACTAACATGGCAGTAATAAGGCAGTGATGACCCTCCCAGGACTGGCGGCCAACACTCCCTCTGCCTCCCATGCCTTCAACACACACACACACACACACACACACACACACACACACACACACACACACACACACACCACACACACACACACACACACACACACACACACACACACACACACACACACACACACACACACACACACACACACACACACACACACACACCACACACACACACACACCACACACACACAGGCCGTGCACTTGAACAGATACGCAGTTCGGCCCCAAATCTCTCTCTCCCTCTGATATATTAACTTCCCTGCCTGCTCACCAAACCCCATTCATTTTGAATCCAGCCCAGCAAGAAGTCAAAACTGCAACATTAAAATGCGTGGCATTAATTGACTCACTGAAGTATAATCAATGGGAGAAACACAAAAGTGTGACGCCATTCATCTATAAGCCTGAATGCAAATAGGGAAGTAAAACAGGGCTAACAGAGAAGAAGGTTATACACCTGTTGCAAATTGAAGAACAACACTTTGTCATATCCGATTTTTACAAAGTCCATCACTCACATACTGTAGAATGCAATGAAATCTCTCACAGTCAGGCTTCAGCCAAGAGGATTACGTTTTATAACATTTTAAATGGCAGATAAAGCTGCATGCTTTGCGTGTAAGGAGAAATACATATTATTTTGTATAAAACTGATGCTGGAAATCATGTAGTTGCTAAACAGATTGGTTAAGTCTCGTGTCAGTGATCATTACAAGGCAACAGGAACCACTTATATTCTAAAAATCAATTATATTTTCATAAAATGCACTTATATTTTTGTATCTCCTTATCCTTTTGTAGCTTAAATTAGTTCCGTACTCTTCACATAATTAATTTAAGCCACTGAGATCCATGTCAGCCTTTACAATAACACTTTCTGCGTGGCTACTTGCACATATATGGTGAGAGTACAGCCCTCGCTGCTACGTATTGTTCGAAATTTGCATGCTTAAGTCCATATGGCAACTTCCTTTTGACCTGCTTTCCCATCCCTGATGCATTGTCAGGGCTGTCAGCCGATAAAGAATCACTTGACTTGCTATAACAAGTTCAAAAGGAGCTGATGACGCGCTGTTGATCCATGGAGAATCGGCAAAAGGAACACCCCTACTGCTCGCTGCTATCACTCCATAGAGATAGCCATATTATTGATGGGAAATGGTTATGCTAATTTCTTTAAGGGAGGGAAACTTTTATTTTATTTGGGATCAATGCTCCTAAGAAGAAAAAGAAGGAAAGGGAAAAAAAAGAATTGAATACGCATCAAACTGAATTCCATATAAGCATTTAAAGGAGCAAGCATGAGAATCTGATTTTCATAGTGCATAATGAATGTGGAATGTCTTTTAAAGAGGAAGACGTGTTTTGTCTGGGAACGGGAATAAAGCAGATATTAGGCTATCTGTTAATGTCCCACAGAACACACACACACACACACACACACACACACACACACACACACACACACACACACACACCACACACACACACACACACACACACACACACACACACACACACACACACACACACACACACAAACTTATCTTTAAATATTTTCTTTAAAGTATCAAGAGTCCAAAATGAAAAGAGAGTGAGAGAAGCTATCCAAGCAGTTTTTATCTTAAAGTGGCAATACATGTCTGTTAAGTCACTTTATATCTTCAAATTAGGTAACACACTAATTATTGACCCATGGTTGAAAATATTGCAATATTTATATTTTTGGAGTTTACAAACTGGGTGTCTGTGTCGACATGGGAACAATACATGCTGTATTACATGCTTCCATACACAAAAAACTAAACTATTCACAACATTATAAAAACCTACAGCTCATTAATCAACAAAAACACTCCAAATTCTATACTCTTAACACACATTCACTCAAAATCAAACAGGACTGAAATCTTACAGATTTCCACTTAAACATTCCTGATAATAATAATATCTTCATATGGGCAAACAGTATATAAAGGTCAATACACTCATTAATATGATTAGAAATAATAATGTGCGGATTACGTTCACCCACAGATGGAGTGTCATGTGTCTGAGTGACCATTTACATGTGTCTCCCTCTGACACATACAGCATGGCACAGCGGCGTGAGAGGATGATGAGGGTGTGTATGGGTGGAGGGGGGGGTCGTTACGCACAGAGCGGTTATGAATATGACCCCAAGCTATTCCATTGTGGGCCCATCCATGTCCGGTTCCGAGGACATCTGATCGCGTCTCAGTCATTAATGTGTCTCTCGGTTCGACATTTTGAATAATCGGGGCTGTCTGCCGTCATCCCGCCACTAGCTGTCAGCAGTCTGTCTTACCACACTTACATTATAGAAAACAAGCTGTCCCTGCAAAAGAGCACTTGATACTTTAAAAAAAAAAATTATTATTACCAAACCGTTCCCATAATTACCCCATAATCATTATATAATCCCGTAACAAAGCCTCTATTGAAGTCCTGTCTTTTGTCAATGCTGGGACACTGAATCTATAATTGCATTATTCGGGTCTCTTCCACCCCCCTATAGAACCGTAATATATCAAACCCCACTCCGAGAGGAAGGTTGGAGTCGCAAGTAAGTGTCCTGCCTTTGCGGGACATCTTCTTCTGTGGGTTTTTTTTTTTACCCAAAAAGTTGTGCCAACTTCAAGTTTAGGATTGGAAATATATGCCAAAACAACAAAAACAGTATTTATTTCGCAGGCAAAGTGGGTGCCTTGAACAATCTTCAGAGAGAGGTGCGTAGAATTGCACTGGTCGCATTATTGGTATATTACATTTTCAGATAATAATTCCCTATTGCGCTCCCAGGCAGTAAGAATAACTCGTCAATACATTGAGAGAGAAAAAAGCGAGTCCCCGAGGAGCGGTTTGCGTTTGTATGCATGGGGATTGGCAACACGACGGGGCTTATTTACATTAAATACGCCACAAGGTTACAGTGCAGATAGATGAGCGTCATTTTTATCACTCATTACTTCTCTTAAGCGGTGACTGACGCTCAGGACGCGCAGGAGGCAACACTCATTTATCCTGGAGTTCTTTTAAGGCGAGGAGAAGAGGAGAAAAACACTCGAAACAGTTTACTTTGAAAGGTAAGGAATTATACTTTTTGGACTCATTTCGTGACCTGGCTGTCTTTATTGTTGTTGTGTTATCCAAGGAGGTTTTCTAAACGCGAAGCGGCGAGGCTGGCTGCGTGTGAATACAGGGGGCATATTTGGAAATAAAAGAGTGTTTGTGGGCACTTCAAGGTCAGAAACAAACTAAGGTGGTGGAGAATAGGCTTTTTCTCTCAGAACATGTAATGATGAGGGGCTTATTTCTTTAAAAACGAGCTTCTCTGTGCATCAGCTGCTTTTGTATCACCCCCTGTCCACGGCGAATACCGCAAGACCCGGGCTGTATTCATCCAGCCAGGCGGCGGTGCTTTCTACAATGGAGTGGGTTTTTTAACGGTACAATGCATTTCACCTACCAGATAGGGGGAGTCCAAGCTGAAAGATGAAGGGAATATGCTGATGCCTGGCGATCGGCATCAATGCAAACGTTTACCTTGAGCTGGCAGCGGCACAGAGAAGCCAATATTTTACATCTGAAAGTCAGGATGCGCGGCGGGGAGCAGCTGTAGGGACAGGATTGAGCAGTGGACAGTCTGTTACAGGTCCGAAGCGCACTTTTCAACACCCCCCCCGTCAGCCGACAAGAATATGATCCGGTCAAATCATATGGACATGCCTCATTATTCAATGATCTCTCACAACGCAACGTTTACGCGCAGGAGTTAGCCGGCGCTTCGCCAAATTTTAAAGGTAAGAAGAAGTGTGGAGGTTATAGTGGGTTTTTACTGGGGGCTTTGAGTGTTTTACTCGTCAGCTTTTGGGGGCTTGTTAGTGCGGGTGCATCGCAACGGGGGCGCCTGATGTCTCCCCAATCATGATTAGAAAATAACAGTGCAATTATCCGGAGCAAGTGACGATCGTAACAAACTGCGACAAAACAGCAGCTGGGAGGCATGGTCTGCGACACCATTTCAACTCATCGCTTAATTTTTATATTCAATCAGAAATGTAATTATTATAAGTTTTGTTTACAGAGGCATGCTTTATTTTGGAACACAATGCGTAAAAACACGTCCGGACGCATGGCTTTGCAATATTTTCCAACACAGATCAGCGATATCTGACTTTTTTTAACAAAGTGCAGCCGTGTTCCCCGGTAAGAGTGTCCGTGGAAAACTTTCTCCCGACAGCCGCACTTGTGCTGTGAGAGTGCGGGGAGGGAGATTCAAGTTTTACCGGCGCGTTTGCAACCATGTGTCAAAAACTTGTGAGATGGAAGAAGAAGAAGAAGAGCCGGTGAGACCTGCCATTTTGTGCAGTGATCGACCTCTCTTATGAATAAGCAGCCCCTGCATTATGCTTTGAGGAGACGTTACGATGGCATTCAGACGAGGGGGGGGGAAGTGACATTTTTCGTGGGGGAAGCGGTGTCACTTTGGCATGTTGTGGCTTTATTTTATATTTCAAGAGAAGGGGGAAAAGTTCGAGCGAGTCAAAGGCTACAGTGTATCTCCGTTACTGTTGAAATATAAAATGACGGAGCCCATAAGCCATTAATATAACAGTGCACGCGCGGTTTTTAGGAGTAATCTTTTAATTTACCAGAAATTCAAGATCCAGAGCGTTTCGTGCGCAAAAAAAACCAATCTAACCGGTTGCAGAATTAACAAATCAAGGCTTAAAATGTGTCCTTAAAATGATGGGGCAGTATTGAATTATCAGTAATATGTGGCACCGGGGATGAAGGCTTGTAATCCCATTTAAAGCCTCTTGGGTGGGGGGGGGGACCTTTTACTTGGACTTGACCCCTGAGTGATCTGACCCCACTTCCAACAGCTGCACAATGGCTGTGAAGACACTTCTTAAAATACCTAACAATGTCTATCGTGTTTGTTCCCGCTGTTTCTCTAACCTTCCCTGAAGTTGTCTTGAGCCAAACAAAATAAAAATGTTGCCTTTTCCTCATATTCATTGTGCAAAGGAAAGGGGATAAATAGATGTACTGTGCGAGTTGAGATGCTGTCATTGTTTAATGGTATGCACAGGGCGGATATTATGTCTGAAATAGTGTCTGGGCGTAAACCCTTTTTGTCAGCTCCTTTCATTCCCTTATTGGAGATGCAATTGCGAATGGATGAGTGTCCCTTCTCCCTCTGACAGTTCAGGCCCTTCCCTGGACCTCTCTGCGCGACTACAAGTTGAAATGTTGTCATTCTTGTCGGGTGAAAACAATTGGGGAAGAGTGTGTGTTTTTAAGGAAAAGGCCTTGCTTTGCAGACCGGCCTTTTTTTGTCGGAATTTGTGTAGAGAATTATGTGTCAAGGCCTCAGTGGTTTGCAATTTAATTAATATTCATTATTATTTTTCCCATTTGTCAGGTTACATTTTAACACCACATACTTCCCACTGTTGAATTATCCAATTAATTGTCAGCATTGTTGTCATTAAAAATAATTATTCTTATAAAATATGCATGTATTATTTATCCTCACTTCATGGCAGGGCAGATAGATGAATTCACAATGTTTATGGATGGGCTGTTTTTTTATTTTGTGAGATTTATGAAGAAAAAAAAGAAGCCATGCAGGATTTTGACATTTTCTCCAGCTGCAACTTTCTGATCGACAGAGCTCTAAATGTGTTCCCGGAGAAACAGTGTGTGGCGGTGTTAATGCTTCATTGTGTCTTAGTTGCTTTCCCACCTATGTCAGTGTTGCTAAAGGGGGCCGCGGGCCGTGACTGACTGCGGCGATACAGCTGAAAACCAGGGTGGAGGGAGTGATGAGGGAGACAAGGGGGGAGAGAGATGGAGATGGAGAGCATGCCACGGCAAAGGATGGCATCAAATCAGTCCTCTTTCTCACCAGGCTGTCAGTCAGTCAGCTCACCGTGGAGCAGACCCACTTGCCTGGAGCCGCCCGCGATGTCAGCCGGACGCCCGGTGAATTATTCCCCGTGTTGACACAATTAGAATTTATTTTCTTTTAAAAGGAGAATAAAAAAATGAACAAATGCGAGCATCTCGGAAACACAAAGTGAAGTGGTTGCATAAATTACATAATCGAGCAGTGGGGGAAAATGTGTGTGTATAATCAGTCGGAGTCAGCCTGCTATAACAACAGAGAGAAGCTGGCCAACAACATTGCGTCTGACCCCAACCACGTACTGAACATGGGAATTGTTCTAGGGTACCACGATTGAATAACGTTAGATTAGGATTGACTGGTTTGTGCACCAGTCAATCCTAAAATTAAATACAGAGTTAAATCCCAAGTCATACGTTAGAGGGTCTTAAACAAGTTATTTTTTCAGTGATTGTTAAACGTCTGTTTTATTGTATCCTGTCTTGATATCTGTCCTTGTTCGATGTTGCAAACGGAGCTGCTGTAATGAAAGAATAATTTCAGACTTGATCTGACAATAACGTGTTATCGTATCGTACATGTTTAAGTTATCCTGTGCCATGGTGGGTGATGTGTGCATGTGCAACACAGTGCATGCAGGCGTTCTCACTGAGGGCAGTTCATCCCCTGCTCATGTAATTATGGAAGAGAGGGCTCCAGCTGTACAGGCAGCAGGGCCAGGGCTCCCGGTCCGCTGGGATCAGGGCGGTGGTGGGCAGGCCAGATCAGGCCAGCTCTGCTCATCAGCCAGCCATTAATTGATATGTGCAGTCATTGTGAAAGCACCCCCCCCCCTCACCACTAACCACCACCCACCACCCTTTCTCTCTCTCACTCCGTTACAGTACCTACCGAGTGAAAGCTGTGGATCATTTTTCATTCCCACTCTGGTTCTGATCCGCTCTCTCTTCCAACAGGCAGTACATGTATTGCAGTGTGTCTAAGCATGTGTGTGAGTGTCCCGCAGGGAGCAGGGGGGGGGGGGGGTCGCGGTGTAACACTGAGGCGTTAGACTGGGTTTGAGCCTTGTAGCTCCTTGACCTTGATCTGCAGAGTTCAAGTCCAGACAGGCAAAGATGTCGGTGCTCTGCAGTTTCCATGCGAGGCTAATGCGATGAGTGCGCACCCTCACAATCCAGAGCATTGAGTCAAATGGGATGCAAAGCCAGGTTGAGATTGTCCTCCTGACCACAAAACATCACACGCTAGATTACACACATTAGACAGAAGCCGCAGATTTCAGATTTCTGACAATAGTTTGAAACGTGACATATTTGTTCTCCACCAGCCCACAGGGTGTGATGCAGAACTTTTATCAGGAACACCAATTATGATTAACCCGTTGATGATGAATCACGAAAGTCAGTGCCACTGACCTTTGCTCATTATTTAAGGATCTCAGAGTATGTTTGAAAGCCTGTTGTTTTCAAGTTTTTTTAAACTCAACTTTGCGGTTGAAGGTTGCTTTTGTGGGAAAAAGCAAAACTCACTGTACACGATGACTTCAATAATATAAAAAGCAATGAGAATATGGAAAACTCCATTATCCAGAATCATTGTTTAAATGAGAGTTTCTGTACAGTTTTGTGTGTGCTATGTTAATGTCTCATGTTGTGGTTGGAGAGTATATTTTCTCCGGTACATTCTTCCTCCTGAGAGTTTGATAAGGGGTTGTGGGGTTGTAAGGATGGAGGAGCAGTGGGGTGGAGGATGAGTTGGAGGGGTAATCATGGACGTCAGTTTGATCTAAGAATAAATAGTGTGGGGCAGATGAGGCGCTGACAGACAAGCTTGACTCAGTCCTCTCTTGCCGGGGTGCCATCACAAGGAGCGTCTGCCTGTCTGGGCAGCCGGGGGGGGGGGGGGGTGAAATGTGGATGGTATAAGTGAGATCGAAGTGGTCTCTCAGATGGAGAGGTGGGCACGGAAGTGGGTACAAGGAGCATGTATTCTCTCAAAATCGGACTCCTTCAGAATCTCACAAGATTCGTATGCATCTTATCCATGAGGATAGGGTCTGAAAATGTTGGATTTTCACCCAGAAGTTCGATGTTGGTGTCCCGTGTTAAACCAGCTTTGATTTGCCTGTTACATTACTTCCGTACTTAAGTAACGCCACTTCCGTAGTAA